TGGCCACGATGCCTTACATGAGCCACCAGTGATGCAGCAGGCTGGGGCGGGTAACCACTACCTCATCTCCCTGGCATGGGTAATGCCATCAGGGCCTGGGCAAAGGCAGACAGACACCCCCCGTGTCCCCATGGACCACTAGGGCAGCCAGCCACCCCTACCTCCACGTGGCCATGAGGGCAGCTGGGCACCCCCAGCATCCCAAAGGACCTCAGGGCAGGTGTACTTTGCCAGCGTCCCCAGGGACCATGCTGGCAGCCAGACAGGACTGCTGGAGGCAGGCGTTTGCCTCCAACATCTGCATGGACCATGGAGTTAGATGGTCTTGCCCGGCATCTGCATAGGCCCTGAGGGGCAACAGATCATCCCCAGGGTCCACATAGGCCGGGGGCCAACTGAACACCCTCCAGCATCCATACAGGTCATGGAGGGTAGCTGGACCCCCCAGTACTGACACAGGCCACCAGATGCTCCCAGCATCCCTGTGGCCCTCAGAGGCAGCCAGTCATCCACAGCATCCCCCTTACCTTGGGGCACAGGGATGGAGATTTGGGACAGGCAGAACCACGTGCGTGGTGCCGGCTCCGAGCCCTGCGATATGTGAGGGAGCAGAGGCAGCCGTGGTGAGCACTGGGTGCTATGGGTGCGGGGGCCGGGGTGGCAGGGTTGGAGCGGAGCCTTGGCGGGGCTGGAGCAGCATGCACGGCACCCGAGAGCTCCTGCAAGCTGGGTGTGCTAGGCTGGGCTGCGGTCCAGGCTGGAAAGGAGAATAATCTCCTATTTAGACAATAGCACGCGCCCAAGTGGGTCTGTCAGCGCCGGGGAATGGGCCGCACGGTCCTTCCCTGTTAGGGTAAAGGCACCTCGGAGGCACATGGCTGTAAAAGGAGCGGGACTGAAGGAGGCGGCTGGGGCCAGGAAGGAGGGGGCCGGATGCCCTGGCTGCTTCATTCCCATCCATCCGTTCATCCGTGCTTGGCACAGTGGGTACAGAGAGAAGGGTGCTGGGGACCTGGGAGGCCCAGACCTGCCCTGGTGGCCCATGGTGCTGTGGGACAGAGGACCAAGGAGGAGCTGACACCCTGTCCCCACATCTTACCTGGCTCCAGGCCCGGAGGTGCCCACAGCGCGGGGAGGCTGTGCCCGGCTCCCCGCGCGGCTTAAATCCTGGGGGAGCAGGGGAGGCAGCGGGGAGGGAGGGCCGGGGAGGAGGGGCGGCCGCGGGGTGCAGCTGGCTTCGCTCATGGGGAAGGGGGGAAGTCATGACCGGGGTTGTTTGACATTCCAGCTCCCTGCCGTCTTCCCGGCTGCAGCCTCCTCCCAAGGCCCGGGAGGAGCTGGGGCCCGGCCAGCGCCGGGGCCCGGAGATGAGACTGGAGCTCGGTTCCCAGGCTCCGCCAGCCTGGGTCAGCCTGTCCTGGGCCAGAGCTGCAGGGAGGGCAAACAGGCAGGACACGGCGGGGGGGGGGGCCTTCCTGGTCTCACTGTCCCCACACTGCCCTGGTGCTCCTGCAGTGTCCCGTTGTCCCTGCACTGCTACCAGCACCGGGTCACCTTCTGCAGCCCCTGGGTAGTCAGCTGGCTCGGACTGCTTGAGCAGTGTCCCTGGGGTGGGATTGCATGGGGCAGTGTCCCTGGGATGGGACCGTATGGGGCAGGGTCTGTGGGATGGGACCATATGGGGCAGGGTCCCTGGGATGGGACTATATGAGGCAGGGTCTGTGGGATGGGATGGGATGGGTCAGGGTCTGTGGGATGGGACTATATGGGTCAGGGTCCCTGGGATGGGATGGTATGGGTCAGGGTCTGTGGGATGGGACTGTATGGGGCAGGGTCTGTGGGATGGGACTATATGGGTCAGGGTCCCTGGGATGGGACTGTGTGGGGCAGAGTCCTTTTTTGCTCTTCACCCGCCTGCTTCCTGTGCTCTGGGATCCTGCACGGAGATGGGGATTTCCTAAGAGCCTGCGGAAAGGCTGACACGTCCGTCCACCCTCCCTGCACAGCCTGGGGCCTCTGCCCTTGCTGAGAGAGCCTGGAAGGCTCTGGGCAGCTGAGGAAAGGCCACTTCAAAAAGTTTTACCCAGAGCGGGGTCAGTGAGATGCTTCTCTTTTAACCCATTTGAGCCACTTCCCCTCCTAGCAGCACTGTCCAAAAGCGCATTTCCCCTCCTGAGGGCACCCCAATCCCCCTTACTCCCTGCCCTGCGGCTCTGCAGCACCCCAAAGCCCTCCCTGCTGCTTGATCCCTGCTCTCAGCTTGCTGCCAACAGGTTCCACCAGTGCCGGGAGGCATAGGGTGCTGAGGAGACCAGTCCCAGCACCCTGGAGAGCTGGGCAGGCTGCTACGTCCTCCCCTAACCCTGCCATCCCACCAGGCCTAGATGGGGGCAAGGGGTCTCCAGGCCTCGGGGGTCTTGCAGTGCTGTGGCCCTACCTGAGATCCCAGGGCAGGGCGCTCAGCACTGCTGGACATCTGGCATCCTACTCCACTCCCCCAGTCAGCAGGGCGGTGGGATTGGGTCACGATGGTGATGCTGTGGTTGGCCCTGTGGTGGCCCAGCCCCATGGCTCACCCCCTATTAACATGGGGCCCTGCTAGCCCTGCTAGTCGGGCAAGCGCCCGACTCTGAGGGCTGGAGCGCGTCCGCGCCTGGGTCGGAGCTGGCGGGGGGGGCTGGCAGGGCGGGAGGGCA